ATATATATATATACTAGTTCAAATTAATTTTTATTATCAGTTATTAAAATATCAAGCATTACATATTTTTATCATTAATTTTATCTTTGTAAATATATTATAATATAAAAGTATATTAAACATTTTATTATGATGTTATAATTTTAAATATTTTATTAAATTTTCTGCTGTAACAAATGATAAATTTATAATTTTCTGTTTTTTAATATACTCTCTAGTATGAAAAGTAGATCTAGATAGTTAAGATTATTCTAAAAGTAACTAGTGATGTACTAGATGGATGTACATATGCTTATTCAACATAAAGTGAATTATATTTATGTTGTGATAAGTGAAATTCATATCTGTACTGAGATTAATAGATATAAATATTGATTTCAGATCATGTGTAGCATTCAGTGGCAAAAATCGAATTCTTGGTGTGGCAGCTAAGAATCAGATGGTGACCAATATGAAAAATACCATTCATGGATTTAAGAGATTATTGGGTAGAAAATATAATGATTCACAGGTACAAAGAGAGCTTCAAATGTTACCTTTCAAGGTAACTCATCAGCCAGATGGAAATACCGGAATACATGTAAGCTTTGTTTTTTTAATATAGAATTAACTTTTTTTCTATTATAAAAACAACAAGTTAAAAAATTGTAATTATATTAGTAGTATTCTGCAACATATATAACTAGTTTATAAAGTTACAAAAATTATATCAAATTGTTGTTATGTGTTATAAAAAAACTTATGTGTTATGTGTTATAAAAAAAATTAGTAGTATTCTGCAACATATATAACTAGTTTATAAAGTTACAAAAATTATATCAAATTGTTGTTATGTGTTATAAAAAAACTTATGTTATGTGTTATAAAAAAAATTAGTAGTATTCTGCAACATATATAACTAGTTTATAAAGTTACAAAAATTATATCAAATTGTTGTTATGTGTTATAAAAAAACAATATATCAAAATATTGTGAAAAAATAACGAGTACTTTTTTTCATATGGTTTTAAATGTTACTTAGATTCAATCTGGGCATCATGCCAGATTTCTCACACTTGTGAGCACTCATATCTTATTTATATCTCTTTAGAGCAGTTAAAACATGATGAATCATATCACATGTAATTTATGTAGTAAAGATTATAATGATAAAAGTAATTAGTAATTAAGAAGTAGTCTTAGTAGTAAAAGGTATTTATGTTTATTTTTAAATTTTAGGTACAATATTTAGGAGAAGAACACATTTTCTCACCTGAACAAGTAACTGCAATGTTATTTACAAAATTGAAGGGTATATCTGAGACTGCTCTTCAAACTATTGTTAATGATTGTGTTATTTCTGTTCCTTTATATTTTACACAAGCTGAACGTCAGGCATTGCTTGACGCTGCACGAATTGCTGGTTTAAATGTTCTTAGATTATTTAATGAAACAACAGCTACTGCTTTGTGCTATGGTATTTATAAACAAGATTTACCAGCACCTGATGCACCTCCAAGACATGTAGTATTTGTTGATTGTGGATATGCGAGCTTACAAGTAAGCATTTGTGCATTCCATAAAGGAAAGCTCAAAGTAAGTATTGAATGTATATATTTTAATAATCGTATTCATTGATAATAGTCACATATTAGCAAAATGAAGTTAATAAGAAATAATTCTATAGATTTGTGTGATCATTGTTAAATTTTATTTCCAGATGATAGCAAGTTCTTCTGATAGTCAATTAGGTGGAAGGAATATAGATTCTATTTTAGCAGAACATTTTTGTAAAGAATTTCAATCACGATATAACATTGATCCTCACACTAATCCACGTGCATATGTAAGACTACTAGGAGAAGTAGAAAAATTAAAAAAACAAATGTCAGCTAATTCGACAACGCTTCCTCTTAATATTGAATGTTTCATGGATGAAAAAGATGTACATGGTGATATGAAACGGGCAGATATGGAAGCAATGTGTGCACATTTATTTAAACGCGTTGAATCAACTTTACGTCAATGCTTTGAAGATTCTAGTATGTTCTATTCCTTTTATACATATATCGTCACATGTTTTTAGATTTATATAAAATATATTTTTCATTTTCTTATCTCCTAATTTGTAATTATTTTTGTAGAATTAAAGTTAGAAGATATTCATTCGGTTGAATTAGCGGGTGGTTCTAGTCGCGTTCCTGCAATCAAACGTTTGGTTGAAGAAGTTTTTGGTCGTACTGTATCTACGACATTAAATCAAGATGAGGCAGTTGCACGAGGATGCGCACTTCAGTGTGCAATGTTGAGTCCCGCTGTTAGAGTTCGTGACTTCTTAGTAACTGATATTCAACCATATCCTTTAAAATTAACATGGGATCCTACACAAGGAGAAGATGGGTACGTCAATATTCATATTTTACGTGTAATATACGTGTAATATTTAACGATGTCAATATTTAATTAAGAATATCTTTTTCTGATTTCTGTGATATCTATTATTTTAGTGAAATGGAAATTTTTGGACACAATCATCCTGTGCCGTTCTCAAAAACATTGACGTTTTACCGCTCAAATCCATTTATATTAACTGCTAGCTATTCTGTACCACCACCATCATATTCACAAACTTACATTGGTATGCATTTAATTCTTTTTTTTTTAATAATTAATAATATTTTTCTCTAACGAATAACATTTTTATAGGTACATACGCAATAAAGAACGTGAAACCAACACCAGAAGGTGAGTTTTCGAAAGTAAAAGTAAAAGTAAGGATAAATTTGAATGGAATCCTTACTATTGTCTCGGCTTCGTTGATCGAGAAACGTGAACTTACACAACAAGAAAAGGAAGAAGAAGAAAAACAGCAACAACAACAACAACAAAATAATATGGATATCGATCAACAACAAGACAAGAAAGATAAGTCTGATCAAGAAGCACAAGCAAATGAACCACCGGCACCTGAAGTATGTATATTCATTGTTGTTTTATTTTTCATTCAAATTATACATTTCAAAATCATTTTCTATTAACTTGAAAGGAAAGGTGTTAATAACTTTATTGCGTAAATAACAATTACATTACAATAAAATGTGAACTAAAATCGCTAAATTCATTATTCCCAGGAAGAAACTTTGTAGAAATACAGTATTCATGCTTTGAGTGTCTGATGCATGACTATGTGAGTTTGTTGTGGTTTAGGTGAGCATGGATAAAACGCGACGGAACTCAGATGCTGATGATGGTGGAAGAGGTGCGAGGGGTTCTGCCCCTTCCTACTCCTCCAGGATTCTCTCTTGGCTCAGCTCGGTACGCGACACACTATCATTACTTGGACCCATATGTTAACTGAAACATGTGCAATAATTTATGACTTCTGCTTAGATTGTTCTATTGTTATAAGTCATCAATGGCTACGCGATAAGCTTGTCGTGTGTAAAAGTGGCATAAGTCTTTTATTTCTTTCATCACGTCAGCATCGTCAATTATCTATTATAAGATCATCGCAGTCATAAAACTTGTCCTGCATGATGTGAGAATCGCGTGTTGCATATGTTATTATTCATTATCTCAAAAAATCTTTTAAGCACATTTTATCATGTTAAAAGAACTTAAATCTAAAAATGTTAAATACATTCTGCAATGTGAAGTTTGTGATTTATTTCTATACGTATTTAATGTTTTGAATATGTTTGTAAATTAATCAGACTTCATATTGATCTGTGTATATTTAGTATAAATTATTTATGAACTAGAAGTTTCCTATATATTGTAGTTTCCTTAGTGCATGACATTTAGTTCAAAAGTTTTAAATCTGTGTCGATTTCTTCTGCAAACTCGGTTAATAATAGCAATATATAAGAAAAATAACTAAATTTTTATTTAATTTTAACAAGATTGTCAATATAAACATATGCATAATATAATTTCATATAATGTGTTTTGATGCATATGGGTCCAAGATACAGCTGTGTCACGCCGTGCTGTCTGTCTTTGCTCAATTATTCTTTTTACTGGGTCGCAGAAGGAAAAGGGACAGTAATTTTAACAATGCAATAATTGATTATCGATGTGCTAAAATTGTAAAGGCAGGCAATGCGGTTCAGTTTCCAATTCGTATATTTTAAGTGAATTAATGATCTCCATATTAAGTATATTTACATAATATATTTTGATATTGAAGTACAGCGAATTGAAAACTGCTCGCATAAGAATAATGCCCCCCTTTGTCCTCTACTTATTTCTATCATCACCTGACTTCCAGTTTGTGTGTCTTTGTTTAAAATGTTTAAGTTTCGTCATGACATTGTTACATTTATTTTGTCTATCATGTAAAATTTATTATATTAAGGATAAGAAATCATCTTTTAAAATTTTAAGAATGCTTGATAAAAAAAAATTAAGATAGAATATTTACGTACTTTTTAACATCTGCAATGAGAAGAAAATAACAATAATATTTTGATATAAATTTTGTTGCAGGCATGTTTGGGCGGATAAAAGTATTTTATATTAATACGTTATTATTTTTCAGGGTGACGATAAAAATGATGAAAGCAAAAATAAAAAGAAAGTTCCTATTCGTACTATTGATTTACCAGTGGATATGCGTGAATGTGGACTTTCTCAACGTGACTTAGATGCTGCGTTAGAAAAAGAGGTAAATTCTGTTTATTACAAAATATAAATATAATTTTTTTAATTCACATACTTTGTATTAATTTTTTTTCTTTGCATCGTAGGCCAAGATGATTGCCGAAGATAAACAAGAAAAAGAACGTATTGATGCCCGTAATGCATTAGAAGAATATGTTTATGATTTACGTGCTAAGTTATCGGAGGAGGATCAGCTGTCCACATTTATTACAGAAACGGACAAAGAATCACTTTGCCGTACGTTAGATGAAACCGAAAATTGGTTGTACGAGGAAGGTGAAGATTGTCAACGACAAATCTATTCAGAACGATTAACATGTCTTAAAGTAAGTTATATTTGCTTTGTAATAATGTTAATAATATTAAGATTTTTGCTTCGAAGTTAAAAATTATGCATCTCTTATTAGTCACAAGGTGAACCAATCAAAGAAAGACGAATGGAATTTGAAGGCAGAGGCCATGCACTAGATGAATTAGCAGGAGCTTTACAACTTGCTAAGAAAGGGGTAGATCTCATTAGAGCATCCAATGGAAAAGATGATAAATATTCTCATTTAACAGAAGAAGAGATAAAAAAGGTTGAAAAAGCAGTACAAGAAAAGTGGACGTGGCTGGAAGAAAAACGTGTACTGCTTGCCGGTACACCTCGTACACAACAACCACCAGTTACTGTAGCTCAAATCCGTGGAGAGAAACTGGTATTTGAAACATATATTAAATTTATTGCTTAAAAGATACATTTATATAGATTATTATTTATACATACTCTTTTTATGTTACAGACATTGGATAGTATTGTATTACCAATTTTAAATAAACCAAAACCTAAAGTTGAGCCACCAAAAGAAGAGAAATCTAAAGACAAAACCACTGAAGATCAAAAAAATAATCAAAGTAGTCAAGGTGATGGTCACTCTCAGACCAATCAACAACAACCCCAAGAAGAAAAAATGGATGTTGAGTAACAGTCGTCCTATTTTATGTGTTTTAAAACTATTAAATCTACCATGATTAAAATAATGAAAATTATGTCATCACACAAGTCATTTTTATCATGTCACAAAAGCGCCTGATATGTTTTTGGTTAGTATATGCGAGTGTTTTTTTCTTTTCTTTATCCATCACAATTTATTGCATATAATGACCTATTTAAGAATGGCTATCATTAAGTATATTGAAATTTGAAGAATTTTTTTCTATAAATCATTTAAAAAAGTATGCACATGTATATTTTGCGTTTAAATTATTTTATTTCATGAATTACGATAAATAAAGATTAATGGAATATGAAAAAATTGGTGCCGACATTTTAAAATTTTGTTTTACATAAAAAATTTTTTTAACACTTGTATATCAGTTTGACTTATTTATGAAAAATACCAACAAAATTAAAAACAGATAATATTTAATAACAAAAATTCTTCAATCTTTAATATGCTTTTAAAAAATATAACAAAATTTTTATTGGTGGAATATTCTAAAAGAGATCCCTAATTTTATTGCCAGTAAAAAGATTCAATATTTTACAACGTATAGAACAAATATTAAGTTAGAGCTAATGACTAAATTAAACTGTGAGGTAGTTAATATCGCTGGCGATTTTATGTATTTAAAATACAAGCGTTCATTCCAACACTTCCCAGGCCGACAGCAAAATATTCTGTCACATAAACTTTTGTTGCATTTAAGATACTTAAATAAATTAATATTTCATTAAAGAAATTTATTAAACTTATTTTAGGATTTGCTTATAGCTTCGAATATTTAAAAAAGCTGCAAACTTAAATCGTGTACATTTTATGATTTAACTTTTTATCAAAGTTTTGATGACATAAAATTTCTATAAATGAAATTATAGTTAAATATATTGTACATAATTCATAGTTTTTCATAAAAAGTAAAATATTTTCTCTTTCGAATTGTGTTCTAATTAATTTGATAAATTTTTTTTTCGTAGTTCTTGCAAGGGTTTTTTATTGGTACTAAAAAAAATCAATAATGTATCGTATTGCGTTGTATATTAACCACAATTCATTTTGTTATTTATTCTTCCTTAAAAACATAAAAATACATGGCTACTATTCAATATCATTAGGGGCAGATTTACACTAAATAATAATTACACTAAGTAATAATTTTTTGTATTTTTTTTTCTCTTTCTAAAAATTTGCATCTGTATCCTTTTAAACAACTGCAGAAATTATCAGCCTAAAAAATTTAAAAGATTATATAAATTCGCCCCTAATCTAGTACTGTGATTGTAAAGTGCACTACAATTTATCCATTTGACGTGTATTGAGGCACTATAAATTATAAAATAATTTACTACAAGATTTCTCAAATATAAAACCAAAATGTGTAAATGGATTTATATTCCATATAGATGTATAGATTGCAAAGTTTGTGCTGTACAATATGCAAATATTGCGTAGGAATGTCATTGCTTTTTTTTATTTAGTAATTATGTTTCATTAATTGATACAAGTACAGTTATATTTGCCTTTCACACAATGTCACAATATTCAAAAAAACAAAGAGAAAAATATCTAAATGTTAACAAAAAAGTATGCAATTGCAAAATGTAATGCAATACAATGTAACATCTTTCTTCCGATGATTATACGCGAATAAATGTGTTATCAAGAAAGTGTACTTAATTATAATGTGTTTCAAACACAAAAAATTATTAGTCTCGCTTCGTCTGTGTCTTCGATTGATCATCAAAATATGCACGATATATGAAAGCGCCCAGAGCTACATGTAAGACGAGAATTGCAACTCCAGCTGAATACACGTTGCTTGGTACATGATTAAGTCCCAATAAACCTAAAATATATAAAGATACGTTTAAAACAACGATATGTGTATATCATGAATATATAGTAAGATATAAAAATACATTTATATACTATAGTAATTTATATGTAACATTCCAGCTCATTAAGTGTTGTATATAAAAAACATAAAATATTGGCTATTAGATTAAAAATTCGAAAAGATTCTGAAATCATAAAAATTACTTACAATTCTTATTTCTATAAATACGAATTGTTTTCTTTAATATTTTTCCTAAACAATATATAATTCCTATATTCATTAAATTATAAAAATATAATTTTTGAAATGTATGTAGGAAATCTAAATATTTTAATAGTACTATTATTTGTTTACATACCATCAAAAATAAAAACCTTGCTAGTAAAAAATGAGAATACAGGTAAGGCTATTATCACTAAACAGTGAAATAATACTGTTTTAAAGACTTGTAATTCTGGCGATTCCTGAAAATAAAATTGTATATCAAAGATATTGCATTTATTTAGATATACATATATAGTATATCAATAAATCAAAAAATAAAAATGAAATACCTACATTTGCCATGATGTGGAAGTGATAAATAACTTTCAGTTAAATTTTTTGTTTAGTACCACTCATCTACAATACAAATTTAATAAGATTTAGACATACTGTGGTATTATTATTATTATAATTTAGAAAAATATATTTCAGTATTTATTTAAAGAATAGAAGGTACAAATGAATCAAATATATAATTTATATAGAAAGTTGCAAGATCATTTCCTTTCCTATCTTTGTATATTATTTTATTGAATGACATAACATGTACAATTCTATATAAATCAAATACGATATTACATAATAAAAAATTAAGTTTGATATCTTGACGAATAACAATACAACGTAAAATGATAAGTTCGAACACTCGTTATCTTGGAAATATTTAAGGTTATGTTATTCAATTTAGTACGTTATAAATTCCACCAGGGGAACCTTGCATGTTCATACCCTTTTTGTTAGCGTTTTCGTATCTGGTTTAAAAAGGTTGTCACACTTCACAGTATATTTTATTTCTGGATAGTGATTGAAGCGCAGTATCGGTACATCCAGAACTGTCTGATACATTTGATTGTTTACAGGAATGAAGATTAAAAATAATTGTAGCAATACGTGTCACTGGCTATAAAGTGTTAGTAATTCATTTATAAGTATGGGATGTTGTTACAGTTTTTGTAAAGAAGATAGCGGTCCACAGGTAATAGATTATATTATTTTATTCATGTGAGATGTTTTGGTACTTAAACTTATCACACAACATTAGATACGTTAGGGAATACATTCAAACTTTTATCGCAATTCCGCCTATTTGTATTACATATATAAGAGAATAATTATGTATATTATATTTTTGTATGACTTGCATTTACAAGGTTGAAATCAAATATTTAAATTTTAATTAATTAAAACAATTTTTCTATTTATCTAGAATGGAGAAGCAAATGAAAGGACACATTTGTTAGTAGATCCTGTCAGTAATAATACAAATATACCTAGAGTACACAGGTGTGTTATATTTTTTATGTATATTGATATATGGTAGCATTAGATAAGAATTATTAAAGCTTTTTCGTTTCTTTTTTTTTCCAGTGATGATTATGTTAATCAGTATGCAAGTTCAGCACCCAAGAAAACCGACGAACAAAGTGCATTAAATAGAATTTTACATGAAACAGCTGCGTGAGTGTTTGCTTGCCTTTCTTAGTTTTTATGTTTATGTTGCTTTTCTATAGTTATTCTGTATATCTATAACATAATTAAAAACCAATTAATTATATTAAAATATTTCATTTCAGTAATGTGATAGATGTTGGGGCATTAGATTCACATAACCTGGAACAGCATGAATATATGGATAGATCACGTGCATACTCCAAACGTATAGAAGCTGGAGGTATTAAAGTCCCTGATAGCACATCTTGCCTATTAAAAGATGTTCCTGCTCCAGAAAAAATATTGGCAGCAGAACCACTTGCTGCTGGGGATCATGGGCTGGTAAATATGTATTATATAATATAATAATGCAAAATCCTATCACATATTTACAATTTGTTAAATTGATTAATTTTTCTTTGTAGATTACAGAAATGCTCAATAAGGCTGTGACGGCACTAGAAGATGTTAATGTTGAACACAAAGAAGATTTAGTAGTTCCTTTCTTATCGTGATCTTTTGGCATTTCCTCAGCAGGATTACATCTTGCTTGAGTGAAATCATTGTACTACATGACACTAAAAAATTTTCAAAATCAATTTTCAATAAGTTGATCTGAATTTACTTCAGATTCTACTTAAACATGAATATTGATTTAACATGATGTGGTGTATTATAGATGAAAATTCAGGTACTATTTCTTAATAACATGTTAAAATGGCTTGACAGTTTTTGAATATACAAAATTGTTTTAAAATGTTACAAGTTAAGGTATTTTCAAACGACCAGTTTTTAACGAAAGAGCTGAATTTGGTAGTGCTTTTCCATAATTTATACATATAATACTGTAAAAAGATAAATCACTGTTATTGATATTCACTAAGATGTGTATCAAGAAACAATATAAAAGGGCTATTTTGTCATAATTTAATATACGCAATTATATTAAAACTTTATTATTTCTTACACAAAAAATTTGCAAATTAAGTTTTTATTGAATCAATAATTAATTTCTTTTTTAATATTGCATGAGCACTGAACATATTTCATAAGCATAAAAGCATTATAAAACATGGTAGATAAGATGTAGACTCAGTAACAATCAATATTTATAAACGCGACTGGAATATGTTTCATTATTTACATTAAAATGTATATTTTAATTAACAACCACATCTTTGTCTTTTTTATATTGTACACGTTTTGTCCTTTTTATTTTGTTTTTACTACATTCTCGCAGAAAGATGTTTGTACAATATCAAGAGAGAAATTTCCAATTTAAATATACACATGTGATATTTACACATATTATTAATATATTCTTTACATATCATCTCTTCTTGTATGTATTTTGTTTATCAAAATTTATTAATCTTATAATTGTCTTATAATCTTTTAAAATTATGTCATCATGATTTATAATTCATTATCATACTCCATTATCACTCTTTATTGATTTATATGAATTCAATAAATAGTATAAATTGTAAAATTGTATACTATTTTGTGAATAATAATAAATAAAAATTGTAATCAATAATAAACAATGATTAAACATTGTTTAAGCCGCACTTGTTACGTTACTAACTAGTTTATTAAAAATTGTAAAAACGAATTAATTTATGATCAAACATATACATACATAGAAACATATGAAATGTGTCAATATTGTCAATATTGGTCATTTATTATCTCTTGAAATATATTAAAAAAAGGAAAAGTATATTTTCTTTTGTGTGCAAATGTTCCAACAATTTCGCGCTCTATATTTTCCAATTATTGTATTCGAAGTGTTTATTTCTAAATGTTGCAAGTTTTTTTTATAGGTAATTTATTATGAATTATTTTGTTTAATAAAAGAGCGTGAAGGATTCATGGCGGTCATTATGAATGGTACATCAGTAAATCGATTTAAAAGGAAGCGGGAAATAAGCGGTTAGGAACGCGCGAAGTTTGATGAGAGCGCGGGAAGTAGGTGGTGGGGATAAGTCAAGCCAGTAGATTGGTTAGGCGCGTCGCGGCGCGGAGGGGCATCGACCGGTCTGGCATCGGGCTGCTATCGGACTGGCAGGTCCCCCCGTTCAGTGCCACCAATACACAAGAGCCGAGGACTCTCTATCGCCGACCATTGGTCCTCAATTTGCCGACCAATCATTGGGAAAGTGCCCACGAAAATATCCAATGTAAGTCCACAAATTATCAAACATCAACGGGGTACGCGTACGACCGCGCACCGTTGTACGATTAACCGCGTTTTCGTTTTGTGATTTGTTTCAACTGCGAATCCGTGTCTTCTTGTGCTTGAAAAAGTCTTTCTGCACGGCCATGTTTGTCGAGACGAGCGTTTCTCGCCCAAAATTCGCGTCGTTCCATGCCAAGCACACCGCGTCCCGAATGCAATACAGCAGACTTGGCCTTTGTTTCGCACGTCGATGTTCGTCGCGCGTTAATGCTCACGAGAATACGAGGTTAATTATGCCACCGAGAACAGGATTCAATATCCTTCGGGAGCGATTTCTGCCCGACAGAAGGTGATGATTGCTGTCTGGCCTCGATTCTCTTTTCTATGTATTTAACGTTCTGCACGTGGACTCTTCAGACTTTTATGTGCTCGCCACGTTGGCGATCTTTATCAATGCTTACGAGACACAAAATGTATTTGTATTAACAGAGTGAAACAAATCGTACAAACTTTAACCTTTTAACGCATTCCATTTATTTATCTTCGTTTTGTTACAACGAACACGAAAGTTTTCTTACATGATTCATATAACTTTGATGTATATGAGTTCACGTGTATACACAAATTCGTTCTTACATTATTAAATATGCATATATGTGATTGCACTAAATATTCTTTTTTCATTGAAGGATTTACACTTAATTTACTATTAACTTGCTTTTCAATATAACTATATCATATTTTTTTCTGTTGTAAGGTCAATGTCTTCTGTTTAGCAACAGCAGTAATTTACAATGGAGCAACTGGGAGAAGGGCAGGCAGTTGTAGTTGGTAGTGCCGGAGGAACTGTTCAAGTTGTTCAGATGGGACAAGGAGGTCAAGCGATGATGTTGCCGCAAGCCATACAAGTGGCAGCACCAAATGGACAGATACAAGTTGTTCCAATGTCTAGTTTAACTAGTACAGGCCAACAAATTGTAATTCAACAACCACAAACACCTCAAATCATTCAAACTCCAGATGGACAAACATATATTTATCAGCCAGTACAATTAGAAGGTCAAGTTCAGCAAGCACAACCAACAGGTATGGAAGTTTATAATTAACTTATTCGTTAAATTGTAAAATTTATATATTTCTCATTTTATGTCTAGTACTTAATATTTCTCATTTTATGTCTAGTACTTAATATCAATGGGAGTATTATGCACATTGCCGGAGCAACGTCGCAAACTGCAACTACTGCAGCAACTACAACGCCAGTACAACCTTTAGCAAGTCCTACAGCAGCAGCGTCTCAGGCAGGAAATGTTGTCATGGTGATTACTATTAAAATGTCTCTTTCACTTACATAGTCTGTGTACATATTATACTGACTTGTAGTGATTATAGAGCAACAAGTACAAAACAAATTAGTTTTTTTGTAAAATTGAACTAGTTAGCATAACAAGCCAAATAAGATATTAAGATATTTAAGCATTTGTAATTGTAATTTTTGTTGTTTTAGATGGTGCCAGGAAATAGCGGACAAACGCAATTTCAAAGGGTAGCATTGCCAAATGCGGAGGTTTTTGAAGAAGAACCTTTATATGTAAATGCTAAACAATATAGACGCATATTGAAACGTCGTCAAGCGCGGGCTAAATTAGAAGCTGAAGGAAAGATACCTAAAGAAAGACCTGTAAGCATGCATTTAGTATTCACGTGTTCATACATTCAGTCGTGTGTTCTATATGAAATTATTATTCTTTTACAGAAATATCTTCATGAATCTCGACATCGACACGCAATGAATAGAATTCGCGGCGAAGGTGGACGTTTTCATTCCGGTCAAGTAAAGAAACGAAAGTAAGTCTCTTTATATATCAGCCTTTTATTATATTTCTTTATGGAAAGCAAACACAGTGTCTCATTCATTATTTTACGCATATAAGAGTGTAATGGTTCCAGTAGAGCAAACGAAAATGCCATGATTACCCAGCACATCACAACTTCGACCAGCACCAATACCGTTCGTACTATAGCAATAGCAGCAGCAAATGTAGGTGTTCAGTATCACGACACAGATAATATGGCCTCCACAATCGTCATTGAAGTAAGTATAAATTTTTCTGAATGAAATCCAGAGATTTTGGAGTAAATTTGTTTATATGTTTAAACATTTTGTTTCAGAAACAAGGTATTCCTCTTCAGGATATGATTTCTGAAGACGATATCGTTACCTCAAACAATTGTTTGATGTAAATTGGACGTGGAGGTATTACATGAAAAATTTACAAATCAAAAACGAAAAATGTGTTAGTGATGACATCCTACGTGTGTTTGCATTTGTCCATTTGTAAATAATCATCATATATACATGTAAATAAGCATCATCTAATGTATATTTGCAGAAATAATGCAAATATAGTTTCTGATGATGAGGTACTGGAAGAATTATCAAAGCTGTATATATATTACGAAAAGGTTAAGAAAAAGTTTACTTATATTTTTTTAGCTTTTCTTTATGCATAGCCTAATACAGATTCGATAATACTATTATAGTATCGTGTCACAGTCTGAAGGAAAAGTGAATTCAAAATTAGATAAATTTCAATTACAAATTTTGGCAAATGGAAAATTTATTGCAATTCAATTAATTTTTAATATTTTATATATATATATATAATGCTTGTGGTGTTACATATCGAATTTATAGTTTCAAAAATATGTAAATTTTTCTATAAATCATATCGCTATGTTTAATCGAGAGACTGAACTGCATAATTTATTGTTACGTGCTGGGTACTATTTTTAGATTAGATTTTATAAATGAATTGATCTTAACTTCCATTACTGTGAGAAGTGAACAAAATGTAAAAAACATGTACATTATGATAAGATTTTTTGTATAATTTTACGTGCAATTAACTCTTTGCGATCGTACTTTTTAGGTAGTCGTATTGGTTTTTAAAATTATTTTTTCAGTAGCGCATGCTCAGTCAATTATAGCCAATAACGTATAAATTTTGTTCAAATGAGTATGTTTA